TAACAACCCACCCGTCACACCCATCTTCCTACCTGCGATATTAACTACATTCCTACCTACCTACCTATCTATCTAAACACTTATCTACTTAGTTACTTACCAAACTAAATCACTGCCTGCCTATCTATCTACTCACCTAGTGACACATCTACCTCACTACCTACTTAACTACCTACCTACAGAACCACACACCCAACCACACATCTACCTGCCTACCTACCTACCTATCTAAACACTTTTCTACGTAGTTACTTAGCAAACTTCATCACTGCCTGCCTATCTATCTACTCATCCGGTGACACATCTACCTCACTACCTACTTAACTACCTACCTACAGAACCACACACCCAACCACACATCTACCTGCCTACCTACCTACCTATCTAAACACTTTTCTACGTAGTTACTTAGCAAACTTCATCACTGCCTGCCTATCTATCTACTCATCCAGTGACACATCTACCTATCTACCTACTTAACTACCTACGTACTTAACCACCCACGCACCCACAGTTCTACCTACCTACCTACATACCTACCTACCTAACTACATATCTAAACATATATCTATGTAACTAATTACAAATCTATGGTAATTTTAATTGTAGGTAGACCACCCTGGAACACTTGTAAATACTTGACGGCCTTCTCATCCTACTCTTCGACTTCTCAGGACTGTCGCGCAATTAGGTGAATTGGTTGAATTTATACATTAGCATGAAGAGTCCGATACTAGAAGGAAACGACCGTCTAGTGCTTTGAGGGTTTCCATATTAGTCTAACTTCAATTTACTCATGATCTCAACCATTAAAAATAAGGATAATTTGGCAAAAAGAATTTTTTTTATTCTGATAACACCATTAACTTAATCTTAACAATCATATTTAATTTGTCGTCTGTTGACTATCTCCAACCACCATCTAATTCCAACTTAGTGCTTGTTTCGTGATGTAATTTGGTGATCTCCTCAATGTATGACCTACCCATTTCTAGCGTCTTCCCCTAATTTCTTCTTCAGATGGAAGCTGATTTGTTCGTATCCACAGTGTAACAAATACACTGTTTAGAATAAATTATCTATATCTCAATATTTTGTCTAAAGATTCTGATCAGTTCGTAACTATAGTGATACAAAATGAAGACAATATTACACAATCAGTTCATTCTTGCAAATAATTACGTAAGAATAGGAATAAGAATTAAGAAATGTGAAATTCAGTTTGAAACATGAATATTTATTCTGATTTGTAAAAAAACAGTAAGTAATTAGTAGACTGGATATAATGAGAATTCATAGTTATATATATAATATACTTGTGGGCCAGAGTAATTTTATATTGGTTTTCAGGAGAACCAGACACTATTCAAACTTTCAGGCAACAACCCAAGCAGTACAGCTCAATCCCGTTTAACAGGAGAGCCAGATACCGCCCAGGCTTGAAATTTGTAGCCCAAATAGTACGGCTAAATCCCGTTTCTAAGATAACCAGACACCATCCTGGCTTAAACTTTATAACCCGAACAGGGCATCTCAACCTCACTTCACAGGAGAACCAGACATTATATAGGCTTCAATGCTACAATCTGAATAGTTCAGCTCAATCCTGAGACGCGAGCACACAGGTATAAAGCACCCTGGTGGACTAACAATTACAATTAGATAATCAAATTATTAGAACTAATTACGTAAGGACAAAATCTAAAACATGAAAATTAAGAAAAGCTAAGAATTACAAGCATGCTTTTCGAGTTCAGTAGAGAATTACAATATATTAGAAGTCCTTGTAAACATCTTCGTAATTTTAGTATTTGAGTCCATGAGTCAATTGAAGCTAGACCACCATGGAAAGCCTGGAAGCACTGGACAGCCGTTTCGTCCTAGTGTGGGACTCCACATCAGTGCGCATCCACGATCCCGACCCGCGAAATTCCAACCCAGGACCTATCAGTCTTGCGAGCAAGCGCTTAGTCACTAGACCACAGAACTGAAAACCAACGGTTTTAATGTCTAACTTTAACTAATCCACGAGATTGAGCGACACATCCATCATTATTATTCATAATTTAAAAAATATTAGTATCTCATCAATTCTGTCAAATATTTTAATACCAATCGTGATGTTCCTGTCATTTGACGAGGAAAACTATATTTACATTAGAAACTTTTACATGTCCTGCCCACATACACTGTAGTGAACGAGAACACCAGTGGGCTCATAACCAAATATATTTGAATAGAAAATTACAGAATCTCTTAGTAAAATCTGAGAAGCATACAGTGAATACTTCATTTGCAAAATGTCAATCACTTATCTCAGACCTCATTGTTCTTTCGTTTTTACATCAATTGTTCACTGTTCTCGTTCTCTTCTCTTCGATCTTCTTAATATACCTCTAGGTATTTTGCTTTCTATTGTTGATACATACTACTTATATCTTCCGACATCAGTAGTATGTACCTCAACACTAAGACAGTCCAAATAAAATGTATGCACTTTTTCACTGTGACAGGAAGATCATAATTTATGGGGAGATTTTGTCATCCCTTCAAAAAGATGAAATCAAAGACAACGAATCAAAAGTCAGGTAGGAATTTTAAAAAAATTACTAGTAGCATAACCATATCAATGAATAGTAAAAGCCATATGTTGTTATGTCAGTCAAATACAGCATGGGACGAGGCACATTTATGAATTTACATTAGTCTAATGTGAATACAAAGGAGAAAAACTTTGGTTACATTGGAGGATTTATTGAAATGATAAATTTATTGCATAATTTGTATAGAATGTAAATTTGTCCTAACTAATAAAGGACTTGTATATGACTTATACAAGCTAAACAATCAAAACAATAATATTATGATGACGTAAGGAAATCACTATGAATTGTACTAACTGTGAATGATAGACTGATTGTCTGAATTGATGATAGTCAAATGATAATTCTCTTTTCTATGAATTCAAATAAGAATAACACATGTAATAGTTGAATTCATAATTCCATTAAAGATTGACCATCATGTGAAACCTGGAAACAATAGATGGCTGCTTCGTCCTAATATGGAACTCCTCGGCGATGCTCATCCATGATTATGCCACATACTAATCGAACCCAGGATCTCTGATGGGAATCTTGAATATTCTAATCCAAATTTACATCGGACGAATATATATGGGATATTTTACACAAAATAGATATGACTAGAATTTCATGTGCTCACTGGTGACTGGCTCCAAGATGGGTTTCGTGGAGTTCTAGTGAGAAGCCGTGACTAGTGGAATTCAACCAAGTCTGGTGTAGAAGCAGTTACTCACTGATGACAATGGTGAATGGTCGCGCAATATTGTGAATTGGTTGAAATTATACATTAGTACCGTTGGATACCTGCTCAATGGTCTAGAAGTAAAGCGTTCGCGTGTGAGATTGGAGGTCTTCGGTTCAGTTGGTGTGTAGCAAGATCGCGGATGCGCGCTGATGAGGAGCTACACACTAGGACGAAACGGTTGTCCAGTGCTCCCAGGTTTTACATGATGGTTTAGCTTTAATCGAGTTATGAATCCGACTTTTAAAAGTGATTAAAATATGTTGAAAACTTCAATGATTGTTAGACATTAGTTGTTCAGATCATTGATGAACCTATGAAACTAAAGATATTAGGTAAGAAATTATTGATCGTCTTGATGCTTGATTATTTGTTTTCGGAAGGCTCGGACTGGACTGATAAGAGAAACTTTTGATATTATTTTAAGTTCTATAGCTGAGAATTTTACAAATATAATTTCCTCTTGAGTATTTCACATTAAATCAACCCTCCTAAGTCTTGGATACTATTCGTTTTTATAATTTTGACGAATGTTCTGATATATTATGATAATAAAGCTTAATTATCAGGCTTATTATTGAGCATGGCAAATAATTACGTCATCATAAAACTTGAATTAGGACATTACAAATCTGTTTAGAATTTTTAAAGCTTATGAAATAGAAAATCAATATTTTTTAAAACTAGTTAACTCTTAATTATTGATTATGTAATATCCGAACGAAAAATCAATGAATGATAATCAATCAACTAGATTATGTGTTCATTTATATTGATTTTATTATAAGATTTCGTTTGATCAGCTGGCTATGAGTAAACGATTTACTAGTCTTAGTTACAGTATCTCACACTCACAGTGGCTTGATCTTGAATAATTGTTACTTTCCATTTTATGGTATGAGACTTACTTTTTATCATTCCTTCTCAACTTTGATCAAAAGCGCTTCTGATTCCTTTCACATATTATCATTATTTTTAAGCTTCTTGTCGACATCAGTTCCCTTAAAATTATACATACGTCTTGCTGACCAATCCAAACAATGAGAAAAAAGCCAGCCCTACAAATCAACACTTACCGGATAACTCTAAGCAATCGATACGCAGAAACACAGTACACACAACATAAGTCAGTAAAGACAAATGGCTAAATTTCAACTTGATCGATCATTACTTGAAAACTAGATATATATTATGACCTTGGTTACTACACAAAGCACAGATAGTCCCTAAAATATTCTGCTACATTTAGAATTCTACAAACCAGTTTTCTTTTATTCATAAGATAATTTCATCGTATCACATTTATATATGTGAAACATCCATTAATACTGGAGATCTTTTCCATCACCAAGTGACTTGTTTATTACCAGTGAAAAATACTTAGTTCAGTGTAATAAATTACTTGTGCCTTCATTGTTTTAACACAATTGTAATTGTACGCTTAGCTAGTGAAATGATTGAAACATCATCAAATAAGAGAATGAATCTTTCCATAATCTTTTTATAGAAACAAGAACTATGATAAATAGAATACAGCATTAAATGTTATTTACATGTTTGTAAATATCATAATATGTTCATTTGATAATAAGTAAATAAGTAGTACCTTTAGATGTATGATTTTAGTTAAACTTTATTTTCTCCATTAAAACGATTTTCCTTTACTGCCTTCCTCATACTCTTTCAAATAATTCAATCCAATAAAGTTGACGATGCTTAGGTAGTGTATCACTATTGTACCATTCAATAGATGCTTTGAAAATAGCTTCATTAAATGTTGTTGCACTAGTTATGTCGGCATAATCATTATTATCATCATCATTATGAATTAAATGAACTAATGAATCATGTAGACCAACATGTAAATTTGTATTCAATTCGATGGATTTCTTTGGTTGTAACCATTGTTTATTAGTTTGTTTATAAAATCGTAGTAAATTTAGAATATCAGTTTTATTACCGATTGTTTGCAAAGATGACGATGATGATGTTGGTTTGACATTTGTCATTTGAGGTAATAATTTACATAAACGTACAAATTGTTGAGTAAATTCACTATCCCGATTATCTTTATTGTATAAATAGCTGGAATGAAGAAATCAGATGGTTAAAGAATAAAAGAATAATAAAACTGAGTTAGGTTATTATCACTTATTTATGTAACTCTCTTTTGATAAAATTCAATCCTTTACAGTAATTAGATTATAAAGTTAAACGTTGAGTGGTGACATGTGTTATAATGAGTCACAGTGGAACAGTCCCATATTGGTGGGTGTAGACTACCTGGTTGGGAACCGCGAGATGTTAGCAACTGATGGCTGGAGATCCTGAATGACATGGCTCAACATCGTTTGCAATGGCACAGGTGCATCCACTCTTTATGTTCTCCCAAATTCTAATCTTCTGAATTCTTCATGCTACTTTCACTTTTCTCTTTCCAAATTTATCTCACTGTATTATACTCCTTGAATAACATCTTCAAACCCTAATGTTTCCGATTACTGCTTGTACTTTTACTAACTTTAGCACTACGGGATTTGAATTGACAACTGCATCTCTGTGCTAATGTGGTGTGGCAACTCGAATAATATCCGGATTGTTTAATCTTTCTTAGAATGGTAGCTGCTATATTATTTTAATTCCTTTGCAATTAAACGTTAATATGTGAGAACTTAGATAAACGTATATACATTCTTGGATTCTACATTGATTATGACTGGCTGTCTAAAGATATATTCAAAACTGTTCGTTATTTATTCCAACTCGGATTACGTATGTGATATGACAATCCAATGGATATAAAGATAGATGTTCAAAGAAGCACAGCGTCTAATTACACGATTGAGATACACGTGCAGAAATGGTAAAGCGTAAATGCTAATCAGTCAGTCAGCTACAACGTAAGACCAGGCACATATATGCATCGTTTCAAGTTGCCATACCTAATCAGCACAGCAAGATAAACACCGGGCTCATAGAAGTAGTTAATTCAGTGGTGGTAATATGTAAAAGACTGAGTGCATATAATGACATAGTACGCGAGGAAAGAATTAGTTCATAGAACGAAAGATATGAAGCGATTTTAATCTCATAGTTTAAGGAAAGACAAAGAATGTATACAACGACGCCAATGTGATCGATATTGAGCCATGCTAATCCCAGCACTGTAAATCATATTTTCATAATTACAGTTTTCTGATTGTTTGGACTGAGTCCAGAGTTGGTCAAGATCAATAAGTCTCTCATGTTCGCACTTAATTATCAGGTTTATCACAAACTTTTGACAATAAGCAGAAAAATGATATTTTCAAGGGTAGGTTCCTAACAATGTCTATCTTCCATACATCTGATATTAGGAAAGTGATGTTGCATTCATAGGGAATTTTTTGTTTTAATAAATACAAACTCATCGATTCAAATGATGTACAGTTATCAAGAACAATAAAGGTTGACGAGTTATTTGGACTGTACCAGATAGAATTGCAGCCGCATAAACACGAATCACGGATGAGTTCGATTCAGCTGGTTCAAGGAAGCTTGACAATGGTATAACAAGCTATATTTATACGAATTATGAATAGAAATAATAAAAATTCGGAAATAAAGATTCAGTGATATCCATGGCAGAATAACTTTCAAAACAAGGAATCTTTAATCTTGCTCTATTTTTAGGATGAACTATGAGTATGAAAGTGACATAGTAGTTAAGGCGTCCAACTTCCGGAAAGTTAGTCAGTCTTAAAACTAAGGCTCATTTTGCCTGCATTGGATTGAACAACCGGATAATATCGTTGGTCACTTTTTGATGTTTACAACTACAGTTGATAAGTGTCCATTCTGTGAGGATTGCTTTGATAATGTCAGCAATTCATAAGCATTTTTAAACAGGGATGGATAGTAACAAGGAGTGAAATCCAGAAAGCGTGTTACGTCCTATTTGGGACTCACCAACTAGATTTACCTGCATCCCACAGTTAATGTTCACCCCGAGATTAGAACCATTCGCTTCAAACACCATCACGTTGTCTACTTAGTTAATCAGTTCAGATAGCCAACTGACTTTTGCAATGGGGAGAAATCTAATTCCTTTATATTAGTTGCTCTCTAAATCGTCCCATTATGTTTACAACTGTAATTCATCAGTCTATTTTTACTATTATTATAAAATATAGGCTAAATATGAACAAACTTCATTTCGTGTAAAATGTTCTGTAGCGTTGAAAGCGTCTATCTACATGATTAAAAGAAGAATATCTCTTAGATTATTTACCAACATAAGATAACCTAAATAAAAGCTAAGTCCACAATAACTGCCAACAATTGAAATGAAAACTAAGTGATAGAACTACGTGGTTTTCAATCATTTTAAGTCAAATTAGCAATAATATAGATATGGAGATTAGTACCTTGTATCAGTACGTAGTTGTATTAGATCTTTTGTTCTAGATGAAGGATGGAACTAACAACTTTTTATAAGTTAAAGGGTACTTTATTAATAACTTGTCCTATAGTATAATTGTATAACATATTTTAAACTATTCCCAATATAACAGTTAATACCTCATACTAGGCGTGGGAAAATTTTGAATGTACATGGGAAAAATCAGTTCTTAAGTTGAACAAATGAAACACAACTTTCATAAGATCAATATTTCATCATAATATAGAACTCCCAACTAAAGTTATTTAACATGTAATGCATCAGTGTAAAATAATAATGATGAACATTCAAATTACTCTATGGATATTAGTCATAAAAACTAGTCTATTGATTTCTTGTGGAATATAGGCTTGACTTTAAGCTTCAAACTACTAATAGGAATATTGTACATTGACCACTTTTATCATAGATACTAGAGAAAACTGACAGAGATTTAGTTACCATGTTCTATATTATTAACAAAAACGATAAGATCATCTCGATTGTAAGGAAGAATTTATTTTTGGTCTAATTTGTCGAAATCAATTTCAACAGTAGTCAGGACAACATAGAACATTTTTATACTTAGATAATATATTATGAAAACAAAAGTCGTAAGTTGACTACACAATTTTTGAGTAAAATTGCGTGAGTTTATATTTATCGTCATTCTAATTAATAGTGTATGTAAGTAAGAGAATGATAGGTAGAATAAGAATAAATACTTTCAATTAATGTAATTTAAATGGTTGAGGTCATGAGTTAATTGAAGCTAGATCACCATGCAACACATGGAAGCATTGGACGGTCGTTTCGTCCTATTGTGGGACTCCTCACCAGTGTGTAACCACGATCCCACCTCGCGAGATTCGAACTCAAGACCTATCGGTCTTGTGTGCGAACGCTTAACCTTTAGACCACTGAGCCTGTATCCAATGGTGAAGTTCGATCGGGTCTGTTGTCAGATAATAACTCACTGAAGACTATGGTTGATGTGTTGCTCAGTGGTCTATAGCTAAAGCGTTAACGCCCAAGACTTGTATGTCCTGGTTTCATACCTCACAGCACTCAAGACCACTGTATTCATAATCAACCTTCCTCTTCAATTTCTATTATTCCTCCTACATCGACTTTTACCTCTAAATTTCCTCTTTCGGCTTCCCATTCCAGTATCACCACAGCCAACGATTCTAGTGCGCAAAACACTGTCCCAGGTCTACTGAAACCTCGCTCCGAACTACACGTTGAAGCCTTCAACGTACGCACCCTATGTCAAGTCGGCAAACAAGCGACCCTGGCTAGAACCCTCGAATCTCGTACAATTGATGTATGCTGTGTCTCTGAAACACGCATACAGGATCACAGCGTGGCCATTCACTTGACCTCACGTCAGCGAAACGGAGAGCCGAGATACACCCTCCGAGTATCTGGTGACTCGACGGCCAGCTCTCGTGGACTGGCAGGATTAAGCATAGTACTGAACATGACGGCGTAACAAGCACTGTTGGAGTGGATCCCCGTTAACAGTTGTCTTTGTGCTGTTCGGCTAAACGGTTCGTAAGAACTCGGAAGGATAGGGACACATGTCATTGCCTTTCTGTCGTTTCTGCCTACGCTCCCACTGACTGCAGCTCAGATGATGTGAAAGATGAATTTTACAGAAAGCTGTCCGAACTTCTTCAGAAAGCTAAACGCTCAGACATAGTACTCGTAGCAGTAGATTTTAATGCTCAGATAGGCAGTTTAAACCAAACAGAAAGGCATTTAGGTGGATATTTTAGTATTCCGACACAGCGAACAGATAATGGTGATCGTCTGCTGCAACTGTGCTCAGACAATCGTTTATTTTTAGCAAGCACAAATTTTAAGCATAAGGAGAGAAATCGTCTAACATGGCGACCCCCTACACCAAACCAACGATGGACTCAAATAGACTATATTGCCATCAGTCATCGTTGGAGAGGGTCGGTAGAAGATTGTCGTTCATTCTGAAGTACCTACTTGGACTCCAACCACGCCCTAAGACGGGAACGCATCTGCTTGTGCCTCACTGGACGCAAAAAAGCCTCGGTTAAAAGACCCATTAGAACTGAATTGAGTAGCAAGAAAACCAAAAGTAGGTTCCAGGAACAACTGAGGTCACAATTAGGTAGTTCTGAAAACGAGGCTGACCCAGATGTTGCTCGGAAAGATATACAAACAGCTGTGGAAACAGCAGTGACATCTATTAGTGATTTAGGCCACAGGGTTACAAAGAACCAATGGATTCCTTTCAAGGTCTATTGCACTGATGGATTCTCGTAAACTCATCCCATCGGGTTCTGAACACGATGAAGAGCGAAAACAAATCAGATCTAGGTTAAGCAAAAGTCTAAGAAACGACCGTGAGCAGTGATGGGCAACGAAAGCAAAAGACATGGAAAAAGGCGGCTCTACAGACTAATAAAATAACTGCAATTAGTAAGTCAAGTGTAAGTCAGACTATTTCGGAAAAAGACGACACTATCATCTCCTCTCAGTCCAGACACTTAGAACGATCGGCGGAACATTACAGAGAACAGTTCAGTTGGCCTTCAGCCTTTCTACAACTACCCTCCATTCCCAGACTGTGTGAATGGAACATTGAAGTAGGTCCCCCAACTCTAGCAGAAGTTCAAAAAGCTAT